GGCCATGATGGTCGTGAGGGACCGGTGAAGGTCGTAACGACCGTGGCATGGGTGTGAAGAGCGTCACCTCAGCATTTTCTCATTTTCTGTTCTTTTACTTTTGTTTCGCCCTAACGGTAAATTATCCCGACTAACAATTTTACGCGAATACAACTACGATACGACGAGACACGACAAATACTTATAATCAATTTAATTGAAATAAACGGGCGTTACAACTCCCCCAAACTTAAAAGAATTTCGTCCTCGAAATTACCTCGATCAAACAACTCGAGATAAGACTCCCGCATCTTGCTTTCCAGTTCCCACGTCAAGCTTTTGCCAGCAACCCCCAACCAGACAACCAAGACAGATTCTTCAATTCACTATACATTTTCGTCGCTTCTGGATGAATACTCAACTTACTTCGGTGACCCTCTTCCAGGATAGCTTTCTTCATATCTGCACTATCAGGAATACAAATACGACCACGGAACGTCAACACGCCTTGCGTATCCAACTGATAATCATTACTTTCCGAGTGTCCTACTCCAGGCATTAAATCTACCAACTTCACATCTAATTTCTGAGCTTCTCTGATGTTGTCCAGAAAGTCATTATTAATCTTTAACATGCCTAACTTTACACTCTTCGGTGTCACTTCGCAAACTAAACTCAGATCTCTGAATTGCTCAATCAATTCCAACTCTTTAGCCATCATTGCTGACATATGCACAGTCTTGCGGCTTAAGGCATCAGCTACAACGTTAGCCTTTTCCGGATGGTAGTTTAAACCAAAATCATAATCTTTTAACAGTTCTAACCACCTTCGCTGTCTCATGTTCAGTTCTTTTTGGTTAAACAAGTACTTCAAACTCTTATGGTCACTGAACACCTCGAATCTTGAACCATACCAATAATGTCTCCAAATCTTCAGCACAAAACAACAACAGCAAGTTCTAAATCGTGTGTAGGATAATTCTTCTCATGGATTCTCAACTGTCTTGAAGCATAAGCAACTACTTTGTTACCCTGCATGAGTACACCTCCCAAACCAAACTTAGAAGCATCGCAGTATACAACAAACAGTTATTTTGTGTTAGGCAAGGTCAAAACCGGAGCAGACGTCAACCTCTTCTTTAACTCTATAAAACCTGCTTCGCATTGAGCATCCCACACAAAAGTTTTCCCTTTACCAGTCAACTTCGTTAACGGAAGAGCCAACTTAGAAAGACCTTCAATAAACCTTCTGTAATAACCAACAAGTCCCAAAATGCTTCTAATCTCAGGTGCTCCACATGCTGCTCCTTCGACTTAGAATAAATTAATATATCATCAATGAATACCACCACAAACCGATCCCCTTGTGCTTGCACTCAGAAATAGCGTGTCCAAGCTCACTGCAACAGTAACATCTCACTGATCCAGAATTACACATATTACACTTTTGACCAGGTTTTCCACACTTATAGCAAACAATACCAGCAGGAGCATCTCCCCTACTAGTTTTCTTGCCATCAGTTGCTCCCTGTTTCCCTTTACCAACTGGAGGATCATAAGGCTTACCACGATTCTGATGCGACTCTCCTCTCCTCTCACTCAACAACTTGTAATGAGCATTGCTATCTTCTTCATAAATTTTACAGCTTTCAACCAACGCATCAAAAATACGGATCTTCTGATACCCAATTGCCTTCATGATTTCAGACTTCAATCCATTCTCAAACTTGATACACTTAGAGAACTTAGCGGTTTCTGCGCTGTAGTGCGGATAAAACATAGCCAACACTTTGAACTCCGCAGCATACACAGTAATAGATCTGTCTCCTTGCTTTAGTTCAAGAAACTAAATCTCTTTCTTACCAAGAACATCTTCCGAATAATACTTCAGAAATTCCCTACGGAATACAGTCCAAGTGACATCCTCACCTGCAGCTTCCAATACCGGACGAGTCTCTAGCCACCAGTCATCAGCTCCAACTGCTAGCATATGAGTCCCATAACGAACCTTCTGTGCTGGAGTATAATCCATCACACAAAAGATTCACTCCATTTCCTTCAACCAGTCCAGTGCACCATCAGGATCGTGCCTACCCTTGAATGTAGGTGGATTCTCCCGCTGACGTTGCCAAACTGCGAGACCCAGAATCTCCAACAGGATTCGGCGGATTTTCCATAGCATTAGCTATAGCCTGCAGAGCACCAACAATTGCAGCATCATTCCTTGCAGCCATTTCAACTTACTGCAACCACCAACAGTCAAATCTCACAAACCACGATAACCTATTGCTAGACACGACGACTGACTCGATAACTTGGTCGGATGGAACGACCAGCTCTGATACCACTAATGTAACACCCCTTTTCTACCCAAACAGATAATTAAGAAAATCAGAGTGCATCAATTAGAGATGTTACATTTTCAACTTAAAAGACAAACATACACCTGCTTAAAATCATTTAATAACATACATAGCACAACTTTGGATGAACCGACAACGATAACCTGCTTAGTATTTCAATTATAAGACAGCCTGTTAGGTTGCAGCGGAATGTAATAATCTTCCAAACAACTCATAATCAGCAAAAACAGGGGCAAGGAAGGTTTTGCATCAAAACTCCATTAAAATTCAGCAGGTAATAAATCTTGCATAAATTCACGAAAACAACTAGTTTCAACCATAAAAATCAGCACTACCAATTCATCGGTTTAGCGCGTCCAACCAACATTTGGCACTTAACAGAAGCAACCAATTTAATGAAAGGTACACTACAAGAAAATTGGCAAATTGTGACGGTTCATTTTGATATATTACGACGGTTTTAACCGTCGCAATTTGTAAGTTATGACGGTTTCAATTCCGTCACAGAAACGTGCGTCGCGAGGCCGTAATGCGACGGTTGTGAAAACAGTCGTACAAACCGTCGTTATTTTCACGACGGGTAGCTAACTGTCATACTCTCCATATTGTGACGGTTTTCAACCGTCTTAACTTGCTTAATGATTTTTGTTTCATTGCGAAAGTATATTGTGGCGGTTTGAACCGCCGCAAGTTGCAAATATTTAAAAAAAAAAACTATGACATCATATTACGACGGTTCCAACCGTCGCAACTTTCTGTTCCACAGGTACATCCGCAGGTAATTTATTTTTAAAATTAAAAGAAAACTGTTTGTTGAAATATGAACAAAATGTGTATTTTTCATTCAATTAAACATATATATCATATTACATTTATCCAAGGTAATTTATTTTTAAAATTAAAAAAATTGTTTTTGAAATATGAACAGAATGGGTATTCTTCATTCAATTAAACATATACATCATATTACATTTATCCAAGCACCATGTCACTTTATATGTTAGAAGCTTATCATATTACAATTACATGCAGATAAAGAATCAAATACATTTGATATGATCTGTTTATTTGGTAGTTGAGATATTGGGCTTGAACTATCATTAGTGGGTGAATTTGAGGAAACCACGGACCTATCCCATATGTGAACAACTATTATTTCCATCACTAGCCAATTGTTGTCCTGAGGATGACCACTTGAGCCCACAAACTTCCTGGTCGTGTCCTCTGTAGGTTTCAACAATGTGAGATCTCACTCTAACATTATTATTTACTATTTTACCATCCATTCCTCCTGTTGTCAGAATGTGACTGTTCCAAGCCAGTGAACCCACTCTTGCTCTATGTCCACCCTTTAATGTCCTTAGCTACAGAAACCAAAATGAAACCATACAAATATGAGACTTGAGAACAATTTTAAGTTTAAAACAAAACAAAGAATGGTTTAAAATAAAAAATAAAACTGGACATATTCTGTTCAGAACCAAAAACATATTCTGCCTGAGCAATTTGCATCTATAGTATCATGAATAAAACACAAACAGCACCATAAGAACAAGGCCTAATGACTTAGATGATATTTACCTGTTCAGAACCAAAAACATATTTTGCACTAAGCAATTTGCATCTATGGTATGATGAATAAACACACAAACAACACCATAAGAACAATGCCTAATGATTTATATAATGGAAACGACAATTATACATTATAACTACTTGTATACAATGTCTTGCTTTGCAAATGCATATACCAGGTCAAATTTGATAGAAGGAAATGAAGAACATCAATGTCGCCATATTTGAACATTCTCGTTCCCTAGAACTTGTGTTGTCCCCATTTACCTATTCAAAAAGCCAAATCACAATTCGCATTTACAGGTTTCTGAATAAAGGCAAAGTTAGCGTAGAAAAGATCAATACAGCTACCTGCAAAAAGATCAATACAACTACCAAACTTATGTGCATTTACTGCTTTGGAAAGGTCAAGACAAGTAGAATATTTTGAATGCATTATTTCAGAACTTATCCCAAGAGATTCACCTACCTGCGAAAAGAAGATTAGAACCATAATCACTGTTAAGTGAGCATAAACATCAGGAGTGTTTCAAATGTTCATATATTTCAGAACCCAAAACAATTCTGAAGGTGAAGTATAATTTAAGACCATTCAATATGTATACCATAGACAAGATGTACACAATTGGGATTGGGCCATTATTCAATTAAAAAGAAGAAAATTATCAGAGTACATATACATGCCTGGTCAACATATGAAACACTTCGCTGGAAAACCATGTGCTGATTTGAGCTAGGAATTGCAAGCACTTCAACTCGTTCGCCTCTACCAAGATCCCTAAAGTAGTCCCTATATCTTGAAATATCAGCAGTAGCAGACATCAAAACCACCCTGCAAACGCATAATATATTATCATGGTATCGCTGTAATTAAACAAACAATTGCATGTCACTTCTGATCTTTAAATATATAAATTACTTTCTTACAAATATGTATGTAGAACTCTCTTTAATTCACTCTTCCAAATATCCTTTCAACATTAACAAAACCAAGATGCTAACCTTAAGTCATTGTTCTTTAACAAAAACTGCTTTACACAAACTAGTACAAGATCAGACACCACTGATCTTTCATGTACTTCGTCAAGAATAATAACCTTGTAGTTCAGTGCAGCCACCTGAGAAAAGATCAATACAGCTACCAAACTTATGTGCATTTACTGCTTTGGAAAGGTCAAGACAAGAAGAATATTTTGAATGCATTATTTCAGAACTTATCCCAAGAGATTCAGCTACCTGCGAAAAGAAGATTAGAACCATAATCACTGTTAAGTAAGCATAAACATCAGGAGTGTTTCAAATATTCATATATTTCGGAACCCAAAACAATTCTGAAGGTGAAGTATAATTTAAGACCATTCAATATGTATACCATAGACAAGATGTACACAACTGGGATTGGGCCATTATTCAATTAAAAAGAAGAAAATTATCAGAGTACATATACATGCCTGGTCAACATATGAAACACTTCGCTGGAAAACCATGTGCTGATTTGAGCTAGGAATTGCAAGCACTTCAACTCGTTCGCCTCTACCAAGATCCCTAAAGTAGTCCCTATATCTTGAAATATCAGCAGTAGCAGACATCAAAACCACCCTGCAAATGCATAATATATTATCATGGTATCGTTGTAATTAAACAATCAATTGCATGTCACTTCTGCTCTTTAAATATATAAATTACTTTCTTACAAATATGCACGTAGAACTCTCTTTAATTCACTCTTCTAAATATCCTTTCAACACTAACAAAACCAAGATGCTAACCTTAAGTCATTGTTCTTTAACAAAAACTGCTTTACACAAACTAGTACAAGATCAGACTCCACTGATCTTTCATGTACTTCGTCAAGAATAATAACCTTGTAGTTCAGTGCAGCCACCTGCGAAAAGATCAATACAACTATCAAAGTTATGTGCATTTACTGCTTTGGAAAGGTCAAGACAAGAAGATTAGAACCATAATCACTGTTAAGTCCATCAGGAAGGTTTGCTTCAACAACAATCCTATCATGTGATAGCCACGAAACCAAATCAATAACTAAAATCGTCGAAACGAACGCCAACATGATAAAATTTACATCAAGAACAGTTTGCACACATCCACGGTATCAAATTGAAATCACGCATATAAAAAACAGAAATTTCAAATCAAATGGTTTCTAGAATTCAAACACGAAATCAGCAGCAAAGCACATGGAAATTCAAAGCCAAAATCATCACCTAAACAAATCAAGGATATGCATAATGTCGTAACAGTGTCGAAACCAACATGAACACAATGTGATTCTTTCAAACAAACTATTGTGTTTATCAATGAACAACAATTTAAAGGTAAGGGATCCAAAACATGATCATAATATTGCAACATCATAAATCCAAAAGCAGTGTTATCTCGATTCGAATGCAACATTACAACAAAAAGATATAAGTCCGCAATACCAAAAACGTAAACACAACACAAGATGAATTCCAAACATAAGTATACTAGCTACACAATACTGGCAGCATGAGGTTTAAAACTAGGCCAACATAGCAGAGATTTCAAAAACCAACTATTTACCCATTCAATACAACATACAGGTATAAGCAGCATAAACATGGTTTCACGATTTTAACACACCAACTATAATCATTAAGCAGAAATGAATCTAAAACGATACTTAAATGAAGGCCTCATATCGTAGCAGTAACAGGGACATATTTAACAGCAGCACATCATCACAACTATTGTTTAATAATTTACATAAAATGTCAAAGTCGAACCGCAGATGCAACACAAAGCAACATCAAATTACGCTCAGCATACTGATTTAAACCAACAACAATATCAAAACCAGAAAAATTGGGTAGCAAGACAATTGACACAACAACAAATACACATAAAAACTCGAGACAATGCTGAAACAAACAGTTACAAGCTGCTATTACCTCGACTTGTTATGGCTGCTATCGAACTGCGATTTGGAAATTTTTCAAGCTCATTGTGAGATCATTGTGGTTGTTGCAAAATGAAGAGTTGGGATGTCGTTGCTGCTCGAGCGGTGTTATTGTTCTGTTTCACCGGCAGAAGAGCGCAAAGACGACCTTTGATGTTGAGATGTTGATAATTTTGGATCATAACACATTGTACCGCTGCGATGAGAACCGCGGTCAAGCTGGTGCGAAGTCGATACGTTGTTGTTGAAGCTTTGACAGGGGAGCTTGGTGGGTGACAACAGTTTCAATGGAAGGTCGTTTTCGGTGGTTGTGAGGTCGTTGAGCGAATCAAAACCAAATTCGTCGAATCAGACGACGAGAGCTACTACTGAGTTATTGCGGTTTCAGACGAGTCAGAACCGGTCAGAGTTGTTTCTGGTGGTGGTTGGGAAGAAGGAGAAGACTGAAACGGAGAAAGATTCGGGGAAGAGATGGACTGAATCGTTTGAAGCGGGTGTGAAGGATATGGAGTTGAAACGGAGGTTTTGTGAGGGTGGTCCGGCGTGGGTTCTTATGGTGGTTCGCGGTGAGTATATCTGTAGCAACAGTGGAGGAATGAGTATTGGTTGAGGTTGCGGGGGAGCGTTTTGGTGATGGTAATCGATGAAGGAGGAAGGTGAGGAGGAAAATGGCCTGTTTCACGAAGAAACCTTGTACATCCGGAAGGTTTGCTTCAACAACAATCCTGCAATATAATATGATCAAATCAATGGTTTTCATACAAGACCATCATCAAAAGAAACCCACCAAAGAATATGATTTTTAAGCAACTATAATCAAGGATGGATCACATAAGTTATTAGCATTTAAATTTTACTCTTGTATGCATTGTCCATCTCATGACACATGCACTGGTTTTGCAGTTAATGCAGATTTGATTCTTAGTTGAACTATAATGTCCAAACTACTAACTGAAGTTTAATATTGGACATTTCATACAGAAAATCAGAGAGCAATTCAAAAGTAAAATATAGAGGAATTTTTAACTCACCGGCATGTGAACGAACTACAACGACATTACAATAGCTAGAATGAGCAGTAAAATGTATTATTAATTGAGGTTTTAGGGACTTGAATGTTCACTAAAAACATCATTAAAAGAATACAAACTACTACTTGATAGTTGAGATAAAATAGTTTGTGTTACTATGTTTGATATAAACCATTAACATAAGAGCAGAAAGAAAGAGTATGCATTACCTATGAGATTTTCTTGGAGTCATCTTGAAAGAAAATAGTTTGTTGTTACTATGTTTGATAACTCCCCTGTTCTTAACAGTATCAATGTCCTATGCTGCTTCTGTGACTACAAATAGGAAAATTAAGAGAATTTAAATCAAGTTAATTCTACACTTCCCAAAGCAGTTAAAAGAAATATTCTCTACACTGCCCAAGGTAATGAAGTACCTTGTGGTAAATGCTACAGGCATTAAGATGGCGACAACCTCTGCACATGCTAGGACTCTACATTCAAAAAATGAAGGCGTGTAATGACATTTTGATGAAGACGTTAAAAGCACATTATTGAACATTATGGGTAATCCCATACCTGTAACACTGGTGGAAGTTGCTGCAAGACTAATGCCTTGAGACTATCACTCGCTAGCTCATTACGCCGTATTATCAACTCAACTAAGTCGGATCTTTGAACTGTAATGATCTTTTTTTACATAAAAAAATCAACAATATTACCATTTTCAACAACACAGACAAAAGCAGGGGATGAGTTAGAAAGGAAACAAAAAGATATTGATTTTGGGGATTTTGAATTGAAACCTATTACAAATGAGAAAGAGAGAAATTGATTTAGGGTTTAAGAATACTAACCTGGCAAGATTGGTTTAGGACCGGTGGTGTGGAATTTTTACAACGATGCAACGACGTTCAGACAGATGTAGAAGATCCAACAAGGTATCGTCAGAGGAGTTTAGGATTGGTGGTGTGGTGGGGTTGTCTCAAGATTTTCAGTTATGAGAAGAAGAATATGAAAAGACTTATGTAGTGAATAAATTTCAACTTTCAATAGTTGCCCGCGCGAGATGATTGTTTTAATTTTTGTGTGACGGTTTAGGAATGTCGTACCCCTATTTTTTTTAGTTTCTTATATGATTCTCCTAATTAATTTTTTAAGAAAACATTATTTTTTTAATTTTTAAATTTTTAGTTTCTTTTTAATTTTTCAGAGGCAATATTTTTTTTAAAGCTTAAACATGTTTTTAATCTATAATTTATAATTTGTAATGTATTTATAATCTCCATAAAAATTTTATATATATATATATATATATATATATATATATATATATATATATATATATATATATATATATATATATATATATATATATATATATATATATATATATATATATATATATATATATATATATATATATATATATATATATATATATATATATATATATATATGTATATATATTAACATTGTTACCAAAATTAATTTTAATAAAAGTTAACTATTTATATAATAAAACATAAAATATTTTACTATTATTTTAGATAAAAATATTAAGCTACATTGTCATAAAAATTATAATAATTATTTATTAAATTAATTAATAAAATTGAAAAGGTTAAAAAATAAAAATGAAAGAAAAAAGTGGAAAATTAAAGGAATAAAAAAAATATAGTGATTATGATTTACTAAAGTAATTGCGACAGTTTGCCTTAACTGCCGCGAGTGTGGAAAGAGGGCGGTTATTTGGTAACTGTCGCATTATTTTATATAACCTGCCCAAAAAATTTGCGACGGGTGGCTCAAACGGTCGTGAGAACTGTCGTAGTCTAGGAATAAGGACAGTTTTTTGATAACTGTCGCAAAAAATCTACGACAGTTGACCCTAACTGTCGTGACAACCGTCGCAATCCAGGAATAAGGACGGTTTTGTGATAACTGTCGCAACTCAAGTGTCGTAAATCTCCTTTTTTCTTGTAGTGGTACTTAATAAAATTCAGCAACAAGGTAATCAATTAAAAGCAATAAAATTAATCGTTCATCCCCCCAAGAGTGCTACGTATCTGAGTGACCAACGACACCTTAAACGAAACAACACTTCATTCTAGATTACCAACAAGTTACCACCAATGGAGGTAACATATAACGTAAAAGGGTGAGATATCAAAATTATAAAATAAGACATGATAAACGTCATGTCGGAATTATATCACAACATTATAATCTTCGCAGCGTTCCGAATATTATCAACAATAAACTGCAAAGGAATTCATTATTCATGTCATAACAATTAGTAAAACAATCGAGCGACCAATCATCGCTTGCAACCAACATAATGACGCAACACTATGCGACTCAACTATGCATATGCATGTGGTACCAATTTGGAGTATAACTCCACAACCAATTCATTTGCCATTATAGGCCGCCAATACAGGCACAACTTACGCCAATACAGGCACAAGCAACGCCAATACAGGCCAACCAGAATGATATGCCATGAAATGCATCTATTATGGACTACAACACAACAACAACAACAACAACTACGCAACAAGGCATTAATCCTACAACCAAATTGTCCATAACAAAAGCATCACAATTTCATACGAATCAAGTAATCACCATTTTTCAACCTGATCATGTAAGAGAACAATAACAACATCATTTTAACAAGTGAGAAATAGTGTGTGTCGGCGCCATCTCCAACCCCGGCATATCAGAGATCTCAACATAATTTCACCAAAGCGACACCACCACTTTTACTTTCTTAATTAATCATAGATTTTCGGTAAAACTTTGTTAATTATAGGACAACTAATCGTACTGCTTAAGGAACAACTACAGAATTTAACACCAAAACTAAATGATGGATAAGACTTTTCAGACACAAGCAAGCGTCATCCCTAATATCTATCAACCCACGGTGACTAATCCTATAATTCAATTCCGTTCATGAAATCAATC